AAAAAAAAGTTTTTTAAGCAAGTTTACCACGTTTCTATTACATTAAATGTTCAAAATAATCACCATGGTTACTTACACATAAATGCATTCGTTCAATCCATTTATCAAAAGTTTTTCTATACTCTTCTCTTTTCAATGCTTCATAAATTTGATCACAGCTTCATGGATCGATTCTGAATCATCTTGATCGCCTATATTTTGTTTGATTAAATCGAATAACCAAAAATCGCATGGTGACAGATCTGGAGAATTAGGTGGATATGACATTACTGTTACACTTTCCGACTGAAGGTAATTGATAACAGTTTGATGAATATGTGGTTTTCCATTATCATGATGCAGTTTAATTGATTGAATACCTAAGGATGGCTGTTGTTTCTTAACTTCATCAATAACTGGTTGCAAACAATTATTAATATAATAATCATGATCCATTGTCTGTCCACGTCTAACAGAATGAATCAAAACTGGACCAGTCGACTTGAAATAAATACACAGGAGAGGTCTTGGAGCAAAACGATTACGTCGAGCCACTGTTGGAGGAGGATCTCCACGGGCTACCCAAGCAGCATTTGATGATTTTCTACCGATTTGCTTGTGAAAAAAACCATGATTCATCATCTGTCACTACATCACATAATCTCCAAACACCTTGTTCAAATTTTAATAAGTTTTCTTGGCATACTCGTACTCGTTCAGCCTTTTGGAAATTTGTCAAATGTTTAGGAACATAACGTGCAGTAACTTTTTTCAACCGGGTGTGTGGGTGTGGGTGTGGGTGGGGGTGGGGTGTGAGTGAGGATGTGGGTGTGGGTGTGGGTGTGGGTGTGGGGTGTCGGTATGGGTATCTAGCTGCCGTTTACCCACATCCACACTCACACGCACACCCACACACCCACACCCTCTTGATCGGTATATGTTTTCTTTTCTGTTTTTTTTTTCTTTTATTTCTTTGCCACATATTGTTCTTCACGATGAAGCTTCTTTTGTTTTTAAGTGAAGGAAATAATTTCTACATATGATGACTATGCGAAGGAGATAGGTAAACATATTGTTTCAGGAGCTCTAACATTATGATTTCAAATAATATCAACAAATTTTATACAAAATTAGAGTGCGTCGATAATGAGGCTTATCACTACTTAATAGTAAGGATTACAGAAACTTTTCAATATTGAATTGAGGACACAGAAATAGTTTACTCTAGATCAGCTATGAAAAAATCCTTTCATGAAGCAGATAAATCTATGTCCGATACAAGATGATGAGTTTAAGGATTTGATAAATTTTTATCAACATTAATCATTTTATTAGTTAACACAACTTGTAAATATTATTTAAAATACAAGCTGTTATCGCAATTTTTGTCGGATTAAAATATGAAACACAACGTATAGTTGCCGTTGCTAATCATAGAAAAATTGTTTAATTCGTTCTATTTTAGGATGCCTTTATTCACTATCATCATACTTAATTCTTGACAAATGTAATAAGAAACTACTTCATATTTCGAAACGAAACGTTATTCATATACGGCCTTTGATCATACATCACCAACGCCTGTATGGGCTGTGATAGTCTCTCGTCAGTGTTTGTCACAGTCTCCAGGAGAATGGATCCGAATTTCTATATCTATACTTCAACACTTCTTTTAGATTGTGTTTCACAATAATTCAGGCTTCATCGTGTCTTAATAATGTGAATCGAACTCGAAAGTTGGTTATTGTTGGCTCGTATAATTCACTTGAGAAAGTAAAATTTGATAGCATTACATAAAAATCAGTTTCAGCAGAGATTAATCGTTTTCTATAGAAGGAAAATTTAACCAATGATCTTATTTTCCGAAACATAATTCATATAACTCTTTCAATAAACCTGCGAGAAAAATCCAATAGATTCTTGTTACATTATCATCAATTGAATGTCCGTTTTCTCAAAGCTGCTTTTTAACAAGGTCGGATTATTGAAATTCAGCACAAGTTAATATATGCATTTTGACATCTTTTGAAATTTAATAATACATTTACTTAAATATTAATACATAATTTTCGCTTTAAACAACTTTAGATATAGGTGTTTGTTTGCAAAATATAAACGTTTTATTACTATCTAAGACAGTCATAATAAGTCTACCTTGGATTAACTCTAAGGAATTATGAAACCCGGTATATCAAAATAGTTTCTCCCTATTCATTCACTAAAGAGGAAGATGATGAATTTTATTCAAAGGCTATATTCTCCTCAATAAATATTACATTAAAAAAGCTTTGATTCTAGTTCTCCGACAGAGGACGCTATTAACTAGCAACAACATCGCTTTCTTGTTTTGTTTAAGTTGAATATTGAAAATGCTGGTCATTTCGATCTCATTAATAATGTTTCCTTTAATATATTTCTAAAATTAAATAAAAGAAAAAATTATAAATGAAGTCTCTACTGTAACAACAGTCAATGTGATGTCTTGTCATTTGTGAACTGTGGTTGTTGGGCACAATACACATACTCATACAACATGTTTTGTTGTCCGATTGTTATTTAACCAGCATGACTTTTTCTTCGTCGTTAATTTTTGATTTTTAGCATCATTTTAATTATTATTTCAGCATAGTCAATAATAATTCTTTTAAAATGGCTGCAACACTTGTTAAGCCACCAAATTCAACTTATACATTTTCAAGCCAACCTAAAGCAGTTCAACAACAACAAGGACAACGACAAAAATTTCGACAACCACTTGTTAATCCATCGTAAGTTTAATATTAATTGAATATCTTCTTTTTATTTCTATTAAATATTTATTTAATAAAGAGATGAAACAAATGTATATGGAAATTTAATGTATGATCGTCGTGTTATTCGTGGTAACACTTATGCTCTTCATACACTTCCCGCAGTGAGTTATTTTAATTGTAAAAAAAGAAATTTTATTTTTCAATATAAATATAATAATCTATTCGATAGCATGCACAACCAGATCCAATTGAAGTTCAACGACAACAAGAAGCTAAACGACGTGCTTTAGCAAGACGTAAGGCTCGAGAACAAATTCGAACGAGAACACCTGATCCTGTACATAATCGAAAAAATATTGATGTACAAACAGAACTTTATCTTGAAGAACTCAGGTGAAGATTTTCAAAAGATTTTATATTTCATCTTTAGAATTTTTATATACAAATTTTATATTGAAATATCATTTCTATTTTCTTAGTACTTGTTACAAAAATTAAATTTGAGCAAAATTTTATCCTATTTATTTCCAATATAACTTTCATTTGATCTCAGAATGAATAAATTCTTTCCACTGAATTTTTCAAGATATATTTAGAAATATATTGTCCTATGAAATCGAAAATTTTCATATACATCTGCCTTTGACATAATCATTCTTTTTGAAATAATTACATAAAATGTCAAATCTAGAACATATTTAATGTCATCATATAACAGATTTTTTAGATTACTGTTTCAAACAGAAACAAAGCGGATTTCTTCATTTAGTTAATCAACTTTTTATCTTGTTTGTTATCTGACCATTGAGAATTTCTCTCAAATAAGAAAAAAAAAGAAATTAATAAGTTTTTGAACTATTTAATAATTTTCAAGTATATATGATATCAATCAGAATAAATTTAATGCACTTTATCAAACGTCGCTTCTTTTTTTTTTTACGTAAAATATATCAGAAAATAATATGAAAAAAGAAGGTTGATCATTCTTGCCTTTCTTAACTCGTCACTTATCTTTATACAAAAGAGTTCAAGAAACTTTATTTGTACACTTTAAAATGTTTTTTATTTACTAATAAAACTTAATTCTCAAGATCTTTTGTCGATTATAAGATGTTTCAGTATAACATGTATCTATCATCTAAAACAATCAAAGAAATATCTTCATACATTCAAAGATTATGTCTATCTACTCCCTTGACTAAGATAAATACTTTTAAGAGTTCGAGTCCATGATCTACTGGCGAAGAGTTATGCTCGTTTTCTTGAAAATTTATTGAAAACGACTCATTTCCGAAAAAAAATCAAAATGAAGATTTTCAAATTGAAAATTTCAACGAAAACGCACGTGTCTTTCTTAAGATATTCAACTTTCCAAAAAAAAACAACTGTTTACGATAAGCAGACACACCAATGTAGTCTAATTGAAAATCGAATATCTCGAGAAAGACATGGGTGATTCTCGTTGAAACTGTCTGAACTATCTAATGACTATTAAATCTATCTATAGGTGAAATTTTGGGCTGAAAGTCTTCGTTGTGGGTCGTTCGTAAATGATTGATTAGAAATAGAAACGTTCAGTAAAATGATCATAACTCTTTACCAGTAGGCCATGGATCCGAAGTCTTAAAGGTTTTTTTATATTTCGATTAGTTCCCTATTAAATACGAAAACAAATATACCCGCAAACAATATAATTACGAATGAATTCGTTTATCTATTGAGAACCATCGAACTCCTAATGATTCTTCATGCTAATTACGATCAGTCTTGATCCGAATCTATTCTTAGATTTTCTCTAATGCAAAACATAAGTCTCAAAATCAGTTGAAATTGGTCGAAAATAATTGAAAACTCGCAAATTTTCGACTCATTTCGAAACCTTTATTTTGTATTTCATGAATTGCGACAACAACTTCTAATCCACAGAAATTACATTCTTAGTAAAGAAAAAAAAGTCATTTTTGACTTTATGTTTTAAGAGTTGGTGTATTCCTACAAAAGAATGTTATAATCTTATTGTATTGAATATTTTTTTTTAAATAATTTCTTTGAATATAGTGATCGAATCGAAGAAGCTGATGTTGATGTTCAAACAGATGCTTTTCTTGATCGACCACCATCACCTCTATTTATTCCACAATCAACTGGCAAAGATATATCTACTCAAATTGAAGCAGGCGATGTAAATATATTTTCGTATTTTTTTTTTTTACTTCTTCGAAATTTAATTTTTAAAAATATTTTAGTTATTTGATTTTGATATTGAAGTTAAACCAATTGTTGAAACATTAGTTGGTAAAACAATTGAACAAGCATTAATTGAAGTTGCTGAAGAAGAAGAATTAGCTGAAATTCGTGAACAACAACGAGAATATGAAGAAATACGTAATGCTGAATTAATTGAATTACAACGATTAGAAGAACAAGAAAGACGTTTAAGAGCTGAAAAAGATCGTCGAATGAAACAAGCGCAAGAAGCAGTTCGATCAGAACAAGATGTTGCACAAAAAATAGCTGCTAGAGCTTTTGCTAAAGCTTATTTACAAGATCTTGTACCAAGTGTATTTAACAACTTAAGAGAAAATGGATACTTTTATGATCCTGTTGAACATGGTATTTTTTTTTCATAGAACAAGACATTTTTTTTTATTAAAAAAAAAAATTTTTTCTAGAAATTGAAACATCATTTATGCCATGGTTAATGGATAGAACAATGACACAAGTTAATCAATTAGTTCTTGGACGAACTATTCTTGATTCGATTATTCGAGATGTTGTTAATCAACGAATCGATAATTATGAAAAATTAGCCGAAGCACTTATACAAGTAAAAAGTTTATTTTTATTTATTTTAAAAAGAATAATATTTATTTTTAATTAAAAGGTAGTTGAAGGTGGTGTTGATATGGGAACATCAACAGGTGATGTTTTACATGATTTAGAACAAAATATTGAACAACCTGAATCAGGTACTGGAGAATTAATTGTCACCATGGAAAATAATACAAATGATGGAGTAGAAACCAATGCCTTACTAAGTGGTAAAGCATTTTTTGTCTTCTTTTGATAATTTTCAAGAAATAAAATAAAATTTATGTTTAGATGAAGCTGTTGACGAACGTGAAGAAGACCCAACAAACGCTGATGAAGATGCTGGTGGTGAACAGTGATTTTATCTGATAAATAATAGTGCTTTTTTTGTTTTTAATTTAGTCCCTATATTTGTCTATCTCTCCGTTTTTATTTTATCGTCGAAAATAAAATCTAACAATTTTTTTTTCGCTCAAATGAATATTATCTATCGATAATTTTCTTATTCGCAACTGTTTAACCCGCTGTTTTTTTTCTATAAATCAAATTTTAAGTTTGATTAGTTTTAGAGAACCTCGTAGGCTACTTTGAAATGATCGTGATTAGTACAATGAAATCTCACCAAATAATTATAGGTTATGAGCAGAAACCAATGGTAATTTCTATTTCTAATAAATGTTTCTTCAAAACAAGTTTTCATATTCTTCTATCAAGAATGCACTAGACTGAGTACCACCTTACGATCGGCCCAAAAAATGAACGTAATAGTTCTCATTATTGACATAAATTTCATAATCAAAATAGTATGCTGCTTTACGCCTTGAGTTTTTTAATATGATTTTCGATGACTTCTGTTACTTTGTTGCAAAACACAAAATTTTTCAAATATGCATGAGTTTCGTAGAGTTCATATAAGAAAATACAAAGTTTGACGAATTATAAAGATGTCTTCGAAGATTTGACTAATTTTAAAATAAGAAAAAGCTTTTTTAAAATTTCAAGAGAAATCAATTTGTTGATCAATAGCGAGTTGATTTAAAAGCATTACAATTTGGAAAAATTTTAATTGAAAAAATCTATCGTTTTTTTTTCTATGTTGATGTTTTTTTTTTTTTGATGGCACATTCCAAAATTCTCAAAGACATGTTATTGTAAGTAGTTACTAATTTTTTTTTTGTTTCGTTTGATAAAACATGTGAAACTAAAGCACGTGCCCCAGAGCATGTTTTTCTTAGCTGAGTGTTGCTATCATAATATTAAAGAAAGCATTTCCATAAATAGATTCATCATCATTCCTTGAGAGTTCTTAGAGGCATTGAATTTGTCATTCTTGTTCTTCACATAAAAAATAAGAATTAAAAAAATGCCTCAACAACTGTTGCAATCTGACATACTCTCTCAAATTAAACATATTGAATGAGAATATACGAAGAAATTTTGGACTGTCAAATCAACTATTTTTGAAACTTGGTTGAAGAAATATCTCTCGAAAAACGTCATTATATAGAGCTGAAAGATTTTTAGCAGTGTTTTTATTATCTTCTCAACATATTCAGAAAATTTCATATAATTCAAATGTACTTCATCTAAACTCGAGTTTTGAAAGTGAGAAGAGCAAGAGACTCTAATGAAATACTGATTATTAATCATTTAAATCACAACCAAGAGCTTCACTCCACTACGCATCTAGATATGACAGATATTATACTTTTCTTTTTAAAATAAATATTCTACAACAAAAACTAATATATAAATTGATAGGATATAAACTTGTCAAAACGAACTATGTCTGAATTTTATTTTTAACTGTTTTAAACTCAATTATTCAATGAATTTTCTTATTATTGTAAAATAATAATAATTATCTATGATTAGCTTTTGTTTGATTGTGTACAATACAGAGTTGGAACCGGACAGGTTTTTTCTGTCCGGTCCAGTCCGGCCGGTTAAAAAATCTGTCCGGTCCGGTCCGGCCAACAACCGGCCGGACGAATTTTACAGCCAAACTGGCAAAAATCCGGCGAAAATAACCGACCATAAAAGTATCTGTTCACATAAAATGTTGGCGAAGGGAACATTGAATATTCACATGCAGAAATCCGAACTAGGGGTGATCAATTTACATTTACGAAAAATTTATAAATCCAAAAATAAATTTTAAGAAATTGAAATTTAAAATAAATTTTAAAAAGTTTTATTTATTGTGAATATAAATTGGATTTACATAAATTTAAATTTTGTAAAATTATTTAAATTTATGTAAATCCAATTTAAAATTATAATAAATTAACAGCAGATCGCCAGTCCTAATCCGAACTGGAAATGAAAATTGGAACTGAAACTCTCCCTTCATATTTTATAGCAAGGTGCGTCAACTTGCCGAGCCCAACATCGATATAAATTAGCTATTCAGATCAAATCTGTTTTTCATCTTAATTTCAAAAAAGAAAAAAAAAAGCAAGTTTATAACAAATCTAACGCAAAAACGTAAATATTTATTTTTCTTGACTCAGGCAGCTGCCTAAATAGAAGAAGAGAATAAATTATTTGATCAAGATTAAACTGAATAATACACGAGAAAGAAATTGATAGATATATAAAGAGAATAATAAATCGTTTATAGTCAAGTTGAAGATAAGATATCTATTGAGTTTTTCGCAAATACATTCTTCTGACTTGAAAATATCATAAAAAAGCTGTTTTCAGTAGAGAAAATTCTTGGGTGAAAACAACAATTTTGTAATGATGGACTGGCAAAAATCCGGTCCTGTCCAGCCAGGTTTAACTTCTTGTCCGGTCTTGTCCGGTCCGGTCCGATCCGGCTGGATCGGAACCGGATTGCCGGACCGGTTCCAACTCTGGTACAAGTCTTGTTACTATTTTTAATGTTGATTTTAGTTTTTGTTGATAATGATTTATGTGAGGTATTTTCTTTTTTTTCAAATGAAAATGAAAGGCGATGTTATTAATTGATTTTTCTCACTTTGTATTTCTCTTTGTGAATAATGAATCAATTCATATAGTTTTATCTTGAAACGAAATATTAATGCTAAAAAATATGATTTCTTCCCGAGTACATCTTTATTCTTATAAGAAAAAAAAACATGCTGAACTTTGTTCTTTCCTTTCTATTGATTGATCTTAGATGTTTTCCGAATTTTTCTTATTGAATTATATAATAATCCGTCTGGATACAAAATTCAATTTTTACAATCGAAGATCGACACTACATTTTATTTATTTTCATCAATATGTTGAACCTATTAAATGATATTCTGTATTGATTCTTTTTTCTTAATACTTTCCAAACTCAATTATATTTTCAGATCAATAGAGATCAAAAAATACATAGTGAGTTTATTCATGAATGCTTATTAGATATGACTATGTACAACAAATATGTCTTCCTCAAGATGTCATAATATTATTTTACCGTGATTTTTCAAGATTAGCACATGCGCATCAGATACTATTATTGTATCATCGATCTTCAATCCAATCATTGAATAGTATTCAACTTACGAATTCTTTTTGTTAGTTAGTACAGGTTTTCTTGATATTCTGTTCGTGAAGAGAATTGTTATTTGACATATGGCTAGTAATATCATGTACCAATCTATATAGTATCAAACTATTAAAATTCATGAATCAGACTGTGTCTCATAGTAACAACTGATAATTTTAAAATCAATCAACTTTATTCTGTTTGAATGTCAAAAAAAGTGAAGTCTATATATATTATGAATGATATTAATAATCGAATTCAACGTTGGAATTAAGAGGCAATCACAGTTGTCATTATTCAAATGATATTTGAGAAAAAGTTACCACAAAATGAGAATCATCTACTGAAACAACCATCAATGTGAATGAAACTTGAATGTATGTTGTTGAAAAGATGAATAGCCGTATAGACTGTCTTTTATCTCATCAAAAACAATATGGTTTGACCTTATTTTATTCTGACATAATAAAAAATTTCACTGTGGAGTCATCTGTTGGTATCAATAAATGAATATATTTGTTACTGAGAGTTAAAACATTAAGAAACTTATATAAACAATGGAATCTATTCTTCATATTTTGATAAACATTTAAATCAATACTGAAACAACAGTCTCATAGATTTCGTATCATAAGATAAAATGAATATTTCAAGATATTCAATACTATATTAATTTAAATCTTTACAAAATTAGCTCGTCTACTATTTAATACCATGTTGCATTAAATATTTTCTCATTTCTAGATGTATAAAAGATTGAAAAATTGTATCATAATCAGAAAAAAATCTCTACTATGTTGAACATCTTGAAGGCATTTCCATCGGGAAGCTCATACTAAAATAGCATTATTATTTCCACTCTGTCATCAATCGTTGATGTCATCCAAAATTAACTAATTAAAATTAAAAATGTCTACTCTCAATATTTTAAATTTCGGAAGTTGGGATCATATTCGATAGTAACAATAAATCAATGAATTTCTTTTCGTACAATATGATTAATGAATATTTTAGTTAGAATTTGTCATAATGAAAGTCGCACTAATATACAAACTCTTGACTATTATTATTTATATAGTTCTAAAAATTCAAAAATATCTCTTCGAATTACCATTCATTTCAAAATCTGATGTTGTTTACGGCTCTTTAAATAACTTGTTCAAAAGAGTAAAACTGATGCCATCGAACTCTATGGAAATTTGATGGATCACCACAGGGCCTTTATATAAGCTCTTGATGAAGAATTTCGAAAATAATATTCAGAAACTATTGTTCTTTCGATTTAGACTTTTAGTAGAACGAAGCATTTGAAAAAATGCCTTCTCTTTCGATCTACACAAGACCAAAATGATTAGCTTGTTCCTTTTGAGAGTTATAAGACTTCTCCTGAAACTCCTCGTTTCAGCCAATTAACCTGTGATCAGCTGAAAGAGTAGCTAGGCAGAGATAAGGCACTATGCTGAATCTACATAAATTTATGTCTGTCTAACTGACTTTTTCGGATAAGCACAGATCAATTGGCTGTTATCGGAGGTCTCAAGAAAAGTTTTATCACTCTCGAACGAAATAACCTAGAAATGTCGGTCCTGTATAGAGATGTAGGAAGAGAAATTTCTCTATCGATTCGGTCTATTACAAGTCTTAAGCGAAAGGAAAACAACTGCAAAATATCAGTGCCGAAAATATCTATTAAGAGCTCATCTATCAATCAACTATTTCGATGTAGTTCGATAGGCTTGATACTACCCTTTTGAATGGTGAAAACCGCAGACCTATGTACTGTTTCTATTGAATTTTATTCAAAGAAGACTGGAATGCATCGTATTTTGAAATGGATAGAGACATAAACTCACAACAAAATTGATGAAATACGGAAATTTAGAGGAATGTTCTTTATAAATTGAATGAAAACGAAAGGTTACTTTTAAAAATGGTCTACTATAATTGGTTTTTAAAATGTACGATATTTTTTTTTGCATTTAATATTAATGATATTTTATTATATTCTTAGTTGAAGATGAAAAACATTTGAACTTAAGGAATTAATATTTGTAAAGTTAAAATAATTTTCTAAATGAATTCTTGTTTTTGATTTCAGCATCAAGAATAATAAAAGAGTACACAAAAAAAGTTTTTATATTAAGAGAAAATTTTGTAAATGATTAAATATGATTCTTTGATACTCTTTCTATTCATATACAGTGTTAAGCAAACTATTTTTGTGCAACATCATCATAAGAAATGCTTCTATTGTCATAGATTATTTGTGTAAATTTAATTGACTAATTTGACTTAGTTATGATATCAATAATAGTTTGATAAGATCAATTATTTTTATTTAAAAATAAAATTTTCAATCTAAATATGTAAGACGTAATATATTAGATTATAGTTCAAAATTGTCCTCTATGATGTTGATCTTTAGAAAATGTTTCACTGGGAGAATAAATTTGACATATGCTAATTGCATTTCCTTCATTTTGTAGTTTTGAATAATAGTCATGTTTTCCAATTTGATGTTTCGATACAATATACAAGATAACTTTGTACATTTTTAGGTTTTTTTTTATGCTCATAGATGTGTAATATTCGATGAAAGTTTAATGTTTATTTTAACTTTAATTAAGAAAATTTGATTAAAACCGCCTTCGAAACATATAAAATAATAATATTTTCCGTTTTTTTTTTTATTCGTTTTTGATGATCGACATCAATCAAAATCATTTGTCACGTAGTTCCTTTTTTTATGATAAATACAAAGAAATAGATAAGAAAATGCAACTGAAATCAATTATTAATATATCCAACTCGATATGTTTATAAAAATAAACATTTTTTTTTTTCGAAAGTGCAATATATCGATTAATACTGATCTTGTGTTTTCTTTTTTGTAATTAAGAAAAGCTTTTAGTAGAATTCTATTTAATTAAAATATGAATGTTGATAAAAATATTCTCATTGAAGAAAACCATTCATCATGCTTGTCAATAAATGAAACAAATGTTGTTTTACTCCTTATCTTGATCTATATTAGTACAATATAGATCAAAAACTAATGAAAAAGAATATGAATGATTCGATACATTAATTTCTTATTGAATTTTAATATATTAATTAAATAATTTCTAAATCAATGAAAAACATTCAAAATCTATTATTCACTTGAAATACAATTTTTAGATATTTCTATTAATAAAAAATTCATTCAAGACTTTTCTTTTTTAATTTAAATGTCAACTAAAGAGTTAACTCTCATCATTCAACAGAAGACATTCTTATATGAATATATTCAAAACAACAGACAATAAAATTACAAAAATAGAACAAAAAAAAAATGTAGCATAATATTCTTTTTTATTATTGAGACAATTCATCAAACATACTTTTACTATAGATTAGAAGAATTTTGAAAGTGACCAATATAATGTTTTTTCAATGCTAATTTAACCTTCTTAAATAAAAATAATGCTTTTCAATTAGATTTTTTTTTTTTGTAAATCCATGAAAATTTACTTAGATGTTTCAATATTGATTTAAACCATGTTTATTATGTCTTCTAAGAAAATAGCTTATTCGGCATCAACCAATATATAATTAACATCACTAAAAGCAATTTACTTGAATTAATAACGTGAATAAAACCTCTTAGATATAATAATGATTTATTATTTGAATAGGAATGTGTAAAATAATATATTATTGCTTCTGTTGTTCGATTCAGAAAAAATAAATACATTCTCGAATAGATGATTATTTGAAAAAGAAAATTTAATCTATTTTATAATAATATGTTGATGTCAAATATTAATTTCTTTGGTTAAATAATTTAGATGAAGGATAAATTGAGATAAAAAACAAATTTCTATCATTTGCTTTCTGATAAATCTTCTGTTCAACACAATGTAATCATCAAGACTGCTAAATTGAGCAGAATGTCACCAAGAATTTTTTTATTCTTTCGCAATTGACTTATCATTTTTTGACATATTCTTCATAAATTAATAAAATAGATTGATTCTCTCGAAATTCAAGTAAATCATTTCTCAAAAATTCTCTTTTAATATCTATCTACCAAGTTACATATAACTTATTCAAAAAAGTTCTTTGTTTCCATGAATAAATTATTCAACTTACTGGAAAAATAAACATTACAATAATTCGAATATTTCTTTCAACGAAATTCATCAATATAGTTTTTAAAAAAATAGATACTAAAGTCTTGTTAACAAATGCTCGAGATTAAAAAACTACAATATGCGTTCAGCTCAAATAAAAATATTGAGAAACTGAGAGAAAATTAACTTTAACGTACATAACGAATAGAGATCTAATTATCGATGATAGATAAACTTATTTATATTGACTGTGTACTATGAGAATAGTTTGTTTTTCTATAAAACCTTTAGATTCTTTCAAATACTAAATAAAATTCTTTTTCTGTTTTTGGAACATCTTTTGTCATTCTTGAAGATTTCTGTCTAAATTCTGGTGTCATTCAATTAGACATGTTCTATCGTTTTTTTATTATGAATGTTGAGAGTCTCTACTGTAGCAGTCGCTTTTTATTTCTACAATAATCGTTTCCTTTTACGAGCATTTATTGCATTTGTGAAAGATTAAGTAAAATGACGACGAAGAAATCTATACCAAAATAGATAACATAAAACCAATCGCTTTGTTATTATCACGAGCAACTACATCGTGTTTCACATTTTAGTCCCAAAGGATTTGTACTATTTGTTTTTTTTTTTTAGTAAGAAAAATAATTAATCATCATCATCATTGACTATGACTAATTTTTGCTTATTGATCATAAATAATTTTATCAAAAATATCGAATTCATATAAATATTAATATAATTTCAATTCAAATAATGCGAATAATTCACATAAGAATATATTTTACTTTATCTACAAAAGCGCATATTCAAGAATAATATATGACTTAATTGACTTTTTTTTTTTTCATTATAAACTAGAGTTTTCTTTTCTTATGTTTTTATAATGACGAAGATAGATACATTCAACAACAATATGTATATACAAAGACATCAAAAAAAATAATAATAATAATAATAATAATGAATAATAAACAAAGACAAAAATCACGCTTATTCGCATTGTTAAAAATATGAACAAATGAAAAAGTTAAATATTTAAGCTTCAGTATCATCTGGACCACCTTCATGTCCTTTAAGACGTATTCGTGCAAATTCTTCAAAGATAAAATCATCATCATGAGCAGTACTATCAAAACTGTAAAAAAAAACCACAACATATTCTTTTTTCTTTTATTTATTAATAATAAAAAAAAATCTACAAACTTAGTATCAAGTTGAATTAAATTATGATCAATAGGTACATCGTTTGCTTGTGGATCATCACTATTTGGTTGATCAAGTTGTTGAGATAATGAAGAAGTTGGAGGAGGTTTTGGATGAGTCAATGTAAATGGTAATTCAACTGCTAAATCTCTAATATAATCAAAAATTCGTTTTTTTATATGTAAATTAAAATAAACATACCCTCCCATAGCAACAATTATTTTAACTTTAACTTTATATTGCACAATAATTCCAAGATTTTCTTTTTGTGTATTATTTCGAATTCTATTTTAAAAACAATTTTTTATATTTTATTTATTTATTTTAAAATAAAAATTTACATAGTCGATGAAGCTAAATTTGTATCTTCATGTTTTAATTTTCCATCTAATGCTAAACCTCGTTTATCTTTATTATTTGCTAGAAGTGGTATTAATGAATAAACTTTTGTTAAAGTTGAACATGGAGTTAATGGAAAACCTTCACTAAAAAACAAAAAAAAACAACAAATCAATTGGTTTTGATTTAAATTTTTATATATATATAAAATAAATAGAAACCAAGGGAAACAAAAAAAAAAAAGCTTTATAAATAAATGTAAAGCATACTCAGTTTCTAATTCAGCAACAGTACATTTGTAATGAGCATTTGTAAACAAACATATTTCTGCAGATTGTTTTACTAGAAGATAATATTTAAAGCATACAACATTTATACAATAACAATAACATTTATTTTATAAGCAATAACTATATTTAAGAAAATTAATATTGAGCGATATTTTCATTTACCTCGATTCAAGTACAGCTACGTCACATTTGTACTGTGTTGATGAGTACAAGCAGATCTCTGCATTTTGTACAACTACACAGTTAAGGATTATATATATATATACATTTGATTTTTGTTTTTTTTTTTTTTTGAAAATACTTTATTTAAGATAAAAAAAAGAAAAGTTTAAATAAATTTTACATACCAGATATACGAATTTTTCGTAAAGTTTTATTTGAATTATTTGTAACAACAACATTAACATTGATACTTTCACCATGATAATACATCTAAATATAAATAAATAATAATAAAAAAAAAAGAAGTTAATTAAGAAAAAAAAAACCTCTTTATCAAGTGTACATTCCAAATGTAGTGGAGCAGGTGACATCATAAAATCTTTATGTGCTTCAATAACCGGTTGTGGTGCTGGAACTTCTGGTGCATAAGTTAATTTTCTAATTGCTAATCTAACAGAACTTCGTTTATGTGATTTATCTTCATTAGCTTCTGCTACATAAGTTTTTAATTCATAATCAACACCACATGGTTTTCCTGTATCACCAACAGCTGGTTGTAATGTAACTGAAGCTGGAGCATTTTGAGGAATCTAAAATATTTATTTATTTATTTCTTATTAAATAGAATAATTTACTTCAAAATAAAATGGATATGCATTTGGTCCTAATTTTCTTAAAAGACGTTGTTGTAAATATGTTAAAGGTTTTTTTTGATCATCAATAGGAGGATAAATTTGTTGAGTTGAACAAAATAAATCTTTTCGAAATGTTAAACCAAGTACATCAAGATCTTCTCGACCATATCGAAATGCTATTAATATATATTTTATTATACATATACATATATAGATATATATATAATACCTGCTAATACAGATGCAAATACTTTACGATCTTTAACATAATCAGGATCGACTAGAACAACTCCATCTAAACTAAAATTTAATTAAGACAAACAAAAAACGAAAAAAAAAGAAAACTTTTAAAACTGAAATACTTACCAATTGGATCTATATGATCCATATAATCAATAAAATCTCTTTTTCCGAGATAACATGTTATCTAATTAAAAACAAAAAATTATTAATAGAAATTAATCAAATTTAATTTAATTTAATATACCTTTGAATTAGGACTACTTTTTTTAAAAACTCTAAATGAAATAAAACAATGTTAAATAAATAATCTATTGTTATTCTACTTACATTGATGTTACATTACACATTATGTGTAAAAACAAAAGAAAGAAAAGGAAAACAAAAACCTATTTTCTTAGTTACTAAATATATAATGAAAGAAATATGTCCTATAACTAATAATAATTGATAGGGAATCAACGATAAAACCTATCATCCATCTGTCGATAGTGAAGAAGAAAAAAAAACTATCGGCCTTCACATCAGAAATAATTCTTCATATGTTGTATATGTCTTTTTCTATCTAAGCAAACAAATTGAAAAGACATTGTCGCAATAATACACTACTAGTAGCAGCTTAGCATAAGACATAACAAGAGGAAAAAAAAAAGAAATTCTGCATTTTCCGGATGATAGTGATATGACGTCATATGAATATATTGATTCTTATTTATTTCAATAATTTAACGAAAAACAAAAAAAGATAAGATCTTCTTCGTCTTCTTGTTTTTTTTTCAATTTTATTATTAATATTTTAGTTAACATTGATGTTCATTGTTGAAAGGAAAAAAAAAAACAAAGATTACATTCACTGTTTTATAGCACTTTGCTTCAACTTCCGCTTTTATGCGTGTTTAGAAGATGACGAAACAAAAACAGAATTTGACGCCTATCATTATTCAATCTTTTTCTCTTTCTCTCTTTCTATATATAAATATATAAATTTGCATAGCATGAGTATTCTCTCGAAAGAATAAACTCATCTATTTTGTTTTTTTCTTTCTTTGTATTGATATAATACTATGGTCACACCATCATTCTCATTTGATTAATATTTTATAAATAAACATAACAACTCTGGAAAAAAAGAAAAGATAGACAAACTTGATAAGAAAAAAATAAAAGATTTAAAACTTGTCAACTATGAATTTTCTAGTGTTGAATAGAAATGGAAAAAATTTAGAATTTTGTATTATTTTTAACTTACGGTTTCATATGATATCATATAAGTAAATATTAATTATTCAACATGATTAGATAAAATGAAAGAAAATAAATTGAACAATAACCATTAATCATATGCGCACTTCCATCATTTTACTCGTTTATTTATTATTCTATATAGTCACTAAGATAATGTATCCATGTTTTTTTTTATTCGTGTTAACTTGACGTCGTTTGCTTTCTTTTTTCCTATGTGTAAGACTCGTGAATCGTCTTTCTTTCCTCTTATTTTCCTACTTCATTGAAGAGTTTTTTTTAGACGAGAAATGGAATAGTAATAACTAATAGAAGACAGAAGAATATCTCTTTTTTTTTGGAAGGAAAAGAAAAGAAGATGCCACTAATGTTAAGTCTGTCATAATTAAAAGATCTACTATTGAGAAGAATAGAAAAAAAAAACGAAGTTCTCCATAAATCCATCGTTTTTTTTCAACATGTCATTGATTAAATTCATCGTGATATTTACTTTTAATTATGATTTAAGACTAAATTATTGTTTGTGTGGAATTTTTTTTTTTTTTATATGATGTTATATCTCATTTTAGTAAACTATGTTTGAAATATAAAAATAAAGAAAAATTGTAAAATAGAAAAAACCCATGAAGAAAATAAGAAGGCAAAATAAGCACGAATCAGTCCTCTACAAGCAACCTATCATTATTATCAACAGCAGGATTCTATGTGCTTTACACATCAAAAAGAGATATCTTAGTTAATACATAAAAAAAAAAAAAAAACAAGAATAAAAAATTGGCAAACTTTATGTTTCAAAAGAAAAAAAAAAGGAAAAACGCAGTTGCTCGATGAAAAACAAATGTCAAATATTTTAGTTTATCATAATAAATTCTAATCTACGATTAAAGGTCGAGTATATCTATTTGTAAATGCTAATTCTCTCTAATTAATCTTCTTGTTTTATTTGAAAAAAAAAAGGTATTTTGTTTTTAGACTATTGAAATGATTAATAATTTTTTTACCGTGTTCCTTGTTTTTTTGAATCATCTAAAGATAAATCCGCCGCACCATTTCCATTAATTTGTTGTTGTTGTTGTTGTGCCATAAATAATATGTTTTTATGTCGATAGAAAAAAATTTTGTCTAACTAATCTGTGAAACATAACGAGATATATATATATATAATCTAAAGATAAACACATCAAAGTAATGAACCTGACAATTGTTCTTTTTTCTTCTTCTTTATTCAACTGTTTATGACATTGACAACAAACAGAAACATCGATCATGACACATCAGATTTTTTTCTTTCAACATGATTATTAAATTAAAAAAACTTAACTACAAAGCGATTTAATACATAACAATCATTTCTAGATTTTAAAAATTTTTTCATTTCAATTAGTTTATCAAGAGAAAAAACTAAAAAATGAATTGATACTACCTTTAATCAACTTTACAACATATTTTCTAGTCATGATTTCACCTTGTTCTCTTACCAGTATTTCTACCATTAGAATTAACATATCATAGATACATTATAATCTCATCTATCCGTCTGTTCTCTTTTTGTTTTAATAAAAACTAAGAAAATGTCAGTATATACGCAACGGCATAAATAGTTTTCAACTTAGAAAAAAAAAAAAAGAGAAAAGAAAAAAAAAACCAGACGTTTACCACACCAACATATAACAGATACAATAAATAACTCATTTGACATTAGGCTTTTATCTCATTTGTTTATTCATCGCCATCAACAACTTACTTTTCTTTTATAATAACTTTGAATATTATCTACTGACATCTATTGATATCAAAAACAAGAAGACAATTCATTGTTTTTTTTTTTTATGAAAAATTTTACATTAATTTTAATTGAACTATTTTCAAATTAAATATTAAATTATTATATTGTTGTAATTCATACAACATATACTTTCATAGAATGTTAAACACATTTGGTTCATTAATTTTTCTTAAAAAGTTTACTCAGCAATGTTGAGATCAGATTATTGAGTATAATAATCCTTCCGTCATAATATATGCTCGTTTTTTTGCAGTGAAGCTGAAAAAAAAAAATTTCTCGTTCTATATAATAAAAACAAAAAGAATTTCTTTGTTAAAAAGATCTCTGAATATCTCTTCCCTCTAGGGTTGGTCGTCTACGAACAGAGATGAATCTATTAATGACTTTTTATGACATCTCATCATTTCTACATAAGCTTTTTTTTTATGTGATTTTCTACAACATTACCATCCTATTATTATGAAATTTTATTACTTGTTTGGAGATCTGTAGTCAGGAACTTTTCAATGAAATGCCCTGAACTATTCTTTTTTTATCTCAAGTACCGAATGTTACATGTTTAATGAGTTTCGTGACTAATTATTATCAATATTTTTAGTCTCGACTATATTGCAGACACTTAAAAATAAACAATATGCACATAAAAAATATTCGAGTAAATTTTTTGTTCGACTAAAAAATTTTGATTTTTTTGTTGTTGTATATAATGATATTCGAAAGAAACAATTCAAATTTACATATCAACATTGTAAAAGTAATTATTATGAAGTTATTATTAACTATAGAAAAGCTCTATATACAGATTCTTGTAAAGCATCATTCCAGTGATTAATCTACGTAAGATACGTATATAAACTATACAAAATTGTATATCTTGGCCAGATTATATCCTATCCTGTCTGTTAATTTGGAAATAAATGTCATTAGAAATTTTTATAAGAAGTTCTAATAATAGATTATTATTTACATCAGTTTGTATGTCTCAATCAACTAAAGCTCAACAAATCTTAGCAAAAAAAGGAACCAATCAATTGAATGGAAAGATAAAAGATTGAAGCACATTAACTAGATTAGTTTTTTTTTTAATAATTGAATCAATACGTTAAAAAAAAGATACAATTAATCTTGTCTCAATATTGAAGAACACTATGATAAAAAGCTTAGTTTTTTTTTTTTTTTTCTTTTTAAAAGTAAGATATTTCTAATGAAGTCTTTCTATTGAAAGATTCTCAACTTTCCATTTATAAAATTTTGAAAAATAAAGATTTTTCATTTTTATTTATAATATTCCAGAAATTTATCAAGACATGAGAAACAAATTTCCGAGTAACGATACAATAATTACTCATATGCTACAAAGAATTTGCTAGACTATTTCATTAATCATTATTTTTCAATCTTGAAATTTCTTTTTAGTTTTATAAATTAAAAATATCTTCAAAGTAAATTACTAGGAAATTACTGAAAAATTATGGAAAGTACTAAGAACAAAGCAAACAATATTACTTACATAATGGTAATTTCCATTACATTAGAATGAATTAGTTACGACACATTGAAGAAAACTGAAAGATGAAAAGAAATTTCAAGTCAATCATTGAAGGAATCTTTTGATAATTATTAGAAGATTAAAAAAATTTTTATGATTCTTTTGTTTTATTCTGAACAAAGATTGAGAAATAAATCTATAGAAATAGAGAATTCTAACTCAAAAAACTATAAAAATTTTCAGAATTTTTGATATTTATTGAGAAAATATGAAAAGGAAGGAAATTTCCGTAATTATCGAAAATTGCATGATAATGCATTATGACGTTGCAGTAATGACTATTTTATCTCTGATATACATGGCTTAGTTCTTAGTATTCTTCATATTTTCCTGACAGTTCACTGGTAAATTTCTCTGTAGACATTTCTTTTCTCGAAAACTTGCTTCTTACATTTTGATAAATTCCAGAAATTTTTAGTAAATTTTTATATCTTATCTTGGTTAATTTTGTATAGTCTGTAATAATTAATTGTAATTCATAAATTTAAATATATCTCAATTGCTTTAAAAATTATGATTATATATACAAAGACTAAACCGCTACAAAAAACAGTAATATCTATATATGTAAGTTCTACTATCTTTCTCGTAATATTAATTTTTGAATAAATATAAATTAATCAACATGAATATAAATACGATATATCATGGATGTTTGTTCAATTCTACTTGTTTAAGTACATTTCAAATTAAATCTCAACTGTAAATTATATTATGTAATATTTTGTTCTTTCGTGAATATGGAATTGAAATTACAATAGATTTTGTCTATATAATAATTATAATACAAGAATCTTGTGTAATGTATACTATTTATTTCTTCAATAAATTAGTTCAATGTGAGCATCATGTCCGTATAATATCTTGGTTGAATAAATTGAATTAGTACGGTAAGGACTTTACTTATGTAATGAAAAAAAAAAAGTCATTGAACTAGAAATATTTGTTTAAAACCTATGAATAATAATTGATAATGGCTTTTTTTTCAAACTTGGTTAATCATCCAGAAAAAATTTGTATTAATATTTATCTTAGACATACATAAATACATGAAATAATTGTTTAGCTTGATTACGAAATGTTATTGAAGAAAAATGTTACACAAAAAAGTATAAAGTGGTAAGTATGAACAAAATTGAGAGACCTATTGTAATCACATGTCCGTAAAATGTAACTCGAGAAGACGAAGAAAAGTTCAATACGGTTCTTGTCTTTGACCTAGTATTCAAAAGTTAGAGACATTCTGTTGAGGATTGGGTTTCTTACGGAACGAGATAGTCAGGATTCTTGAATAAATTAATATTTATCATTAGAGTTTTCTAACGTTTTCCTGAGAATCGGATATGTGCTTCTACATCTATTGAATTTATAATTATAATAAACAAATGCGTCATTTCTTTATAGAAATGATCATGTTTCTAAACTCAGTATATCGAGAGTGATACTATCATTTCTCTCAAACATATCATGAAACTTCAATGATAACTAGATTTATTAGTAGATAAAAGCTCAGGTTATAATTCATTTATTCGAATTTTCTGACAAAATCATACTGTGGAAATCCGAATACTCAAAAAAAAACGTAATTAACTTTTTAATAATAAGTCATAGGCACAAGAAATTTTCAACTTTTCTTAATCCAATTGAGTGCTATTTATGAGCATAATGAGAAATCCATTGAAATATTTTCATCGTTAGTACTAATTCGATTCTCTCTGATATTATGTCCTTTCTTATAAGTACTAACTCGTATACAGTGACTACATATTTGTTTTGTTCTAGTTTATGATTAAAATCTTCATAGTAAATGATAATTATATTTGAAATAAAATGTATTTTCTTCAATTGAAAAGAATTTTTGAATCTCTAAATATGACAATTTTCAATTTTATTCTTCGATTTTCTTACTGATTACTTTTTCTTATGATATTAAATTTCAAAAGAAATGTCACTCATTCAGTTGATCAAGCAACAAGTGCGATATGATAAATTCAATAGAACCTGTTATCATAGACTATAATTTGGTATTTGCAGAAGGATATAAGCATCGCTGAGTTTTATCTGTAAACCATTTAATTCTCATGATGTTCAGTGCATAATATAGATTATGTGACTAATTATCTTGTCTTTGTTTGATTCCACAACTTTTGAACATTCCTATTTTAATCCTATAGAACATAGAACATACGTAATAGTATAACTAATGAGCTCACTTGACTTTTATCAGGACCCGCATTGTGCACCGAGTAACATGTTGGAAATGTTCGGTGCAGACAAGCAACAATAGCAAATACTCTTAATAATAATACAACTGTTTATGAAGGTAGATTAATATATTAAAAAATAAGTAATAAAAAAAAAACATGTCAATGCTTCCATATTTGAATTTCAGAATGCACAGCTATTAATTGAATCTCTCAATGCACTGATAATAAATAAATATGTTACGGTCAAAATTGGAATTCGGTCAAATTCTAAATTTGTCCGTACAAAATTGGAATCCGAATTTTGACCAAACAAAATCAGAATTTTATTTTCATGAACTGTAAAACTGAGAAAAAAAGCAACAATACGAATACGAGTGGAATCAAAAATGATGATGAGGACGAGAGACAGATCTGAGTAAGAGTGATGAGGTCTAGGTCTATATCCCGACGTTGCGAGTAAAATTAGAGTGGATGTTTGTATATAAAAATTCTAATAGGTTTATGAATGATATGAAACTTGGAAAGATTAGATAAGAGAACTATTTAATCAATGAATTATGTCTTATTGTCAATTTTTATTTTTAAATAATTATCTCATAGATTATCAATAAATGACATAAAATGAGTACTGTTTGGAAAGACAAATTTTTATGAGAAATTATTTGATTTTTTAAAAGGAGAAAAAAAAAATTACAATCGTTATTGAGAAATGAATTTTTTGAATTATTATATCATGTGAAGAAAATGTGAAAATTGAATATTTTTTGATTGAATTTATTAATTGTTATAAGATATGAAGGATATATTTTCGTTCTTGTTTTAGAAATACATTGAGTTCATCAAACGAATATATATTTAGAGATAAACAAAAAACGCTTATATTTAATGCACAAAGACTGATTGATATATGAAAATGCCATACAGAAATCATCTTTCTATTAAAAGCTATTTAACCATATCATCATTTTCGCATCTCTGTTACATCAGAAAAAAGTATCAAACGTTAATTTGACAAGATTTTCAATGACAGAACGCGCACTTATCAGCCATTATCATCTATTATTGCTGAAGTATCTTGTAAATTTCATCAAAATAAACAATATGTATGTCGACACAGAGAAGTCTTGAAAAAAATATTATTTTCATTGACCGTTTTTCTCGAACGATACAAAAGCTGCACTTTTCAGTCATATAGATGTGACTCGTACAGAAAAGATTACCTAAATTTAAGTGCAATTTTGTCTCCACTGATTTTACTAGAACCATTAGAGTATTTACTCTTCGACTTGTTTTTCTATATTTATAAAAGAATAAACAAAAGCACAACAACATAGCTTTTTAGTGGACAGCTGTGTCAATAATATATATATATATAGGATACGTATAGATCATAGGCTTTTCTTTGCTAAATATGAAAGAACGAATATTCTGTTGAGTACAAAATAAATAATCAATATTCAAAGTCGAATAATGTGTATATATATATTATAATCATGGTCTTCTCCTATAAAATACATAAACATCAACAATGAGAAGTTAGCAAAAGAGCATTTGACTCTCAATCGTTCTTCTCTTAATTTCTTTGACGTTGATTTGGTGTACATCAGTTGCTGGTGAAATCTATAATGTTAAATATCAAAATAATGAGAAAATAATCTGTTGATAATCAAATAGTAACAAGAACATTACTCTCTTACAGAATATTAGTTGGTCTTAATTAAATAACTCCTCAAATCATTTGCTAATTTCTTATAATGAATGTACACTATGATGCTGTTTTTTTTTCAAAAGCCATGGTAATTAAGTGCGTGTGACACATTAATATGTCCTTGAATCTGTCAGATAAAAACATATTCGACAACAACAATCAATCAAATGTTACAAACTGGAAAGATTTTCTATGTGAACAATCTAAAGTGTCAGTATATATATAGATATGGAAGCATTCATGTTTTATTCTATTTTATCAATGGTCTAATAATAGAGACATATGATGTATTCTCATCAAACATAACATTCAATGAAATGGACACTCAAATAATTAATCAATTGTCAAGATCTCTTTGCCAGAGAACATATCTGTTGTTTTTTTTTTATTGATTATTGTATATACATATATATATATGCAATAAAAGGAATAAATGAGTACAGGTCAATGTACTCTTTTGATTTGATTTTGAAACGAAATATATGCACAAATATATTTGCTCTTTTTTTTTCTGCAATGAAAGAAAAATTTTTGATACTGACATAAGCACAAAAATAAAAATAGTCAATATCCAAGAGAACCCATTCGAAATTGTTTCATAGTCATTGCTTCAATATCACCAGAAGTTAATAATAATTGTTGTCCATTATAATTATTATGATTGAAATGTCTAATATTAAATGGATTAACAATTGATGTATGTCTCACTGATACTTTTGGTTGATGTTGTTCAATAAAATGTTGATTTGTTACTATTGAATGATTTTGTTCAAAAGAATTTTTTCTTAATGTACAATCAGATGAATTTGATGAACGATGTTCATGTTTAGAATTTGTTGTTTTACGTAGAACCGTTGTCGCTATTGATGAACCATATTTATCTAATTCATTAACCGAATGATAACCAGATGTTGATAAACGTTCCAAACGATTTCTCTAATAAAAATAATAAATATTATTATTTTTTTTTCTTTCCTCTATTCATAAATCAAAATAAAGATATACATAAAAAATAAATAAATAAATATTTTCATAATGTCAAAAAAAGAAAAACAAGAAACACAGCGTTAATCAATTTGGGTTTGATTACATGCTTCAATAAACGAACATCAACGTGAGAAAAAACTAAAGTCAAGTAATAACAAAGAAATCAATCATATCTATTCACTTATCTGTAAAAAAAAAATTGCTGAATATTAAATAGATTTATGATAAATATAGATTTGACATTTATTATTAAGCATATTTAAATATGATTTTTATAAATGAATAAAATATATAATTTAATTTTTGTATGTTAAGTTATCTTTTTTCATTTTGATCAAATAAATGATAAACTTACAATATAATCTCGATCTTTTCGTGTCATTATACGTCGTCGTCGATATGTCTATATATATATTAATTACAAAAAAAAACAATTAAATGAAAAATTATTTTTTTTTCTAACTTACAACGAAATACATCCAAAAGAAAAATATAATATGAAATAATACATATATGATAGCTAATGATATTAATGCTATATTATCCCAATATGGTGCTGTATCAGGTGGACAAACAGCAATTAATGCATGCCATGCACATACAACACATAACATAACCATTGATAAAAGTACATATTTATCCTTGAAATTGTAAAAGAAATTTTTATTTAATTAAATTAAAATAAAATTACTAATGTTGTTAAATAAGATATTGTAGGTAAACATCGAACAACAACCCATTTAAATGTGACAGCTGTTAAAAGAAGTGTAAAACTTAATTGAAGACGATTTTGTGGAAGATTATATGTAACACTAAATGTAGTAAAAGCCATTACTGTTATAAAGAACTGAAAACAAAAATTTTTTAAGAAAAAAAAGAAAAAAAAAACAAAATCGAAATTTACGATAAGAAAATAAACATTCCAATAAAAATATCCAGGCCGTCGAGCTGCACGACCTAAATGAAAAGATTATTTCTATTAAAAATAAGACAAAATTTGTTTTCTTACAAGTTGCTGAAAAAGCTGGATGTTGATTTTGTGATGGTGAAAATGGACTTAATAATAATTTTGTTGATGTTTCAACATGTTCATGTAAACGCCATTCTTGTTGATCAATAAATGTATCTTTAAATTCAATAAGAAAATATTAACTTTAAAAAAACTATAAATTAACGATCTATCATACGTGTATTAATTGCACTTAATTGATTTGTATCTGCAATAAGTAATACTTCATTAACAGTTCGTGTTGTTGATATTGTTATTGTTAAATCCTATATTAATTATTAAAAAGAAAAAAAAAAAAAAAAAACAACAAATTTTCTTTACTTGAACATCAACTGGAAAATCATTAAGTTCAAGATTTTCAAGAAAAATACCTTTGATTTTTCTCATTTCATAAATCTATATCAAATATTTAACAAAAAAAAACCTTGTCAAAAAAAAAAAACAAAAGTTCGAACCATTGGCGTATCCATTCCATCATAAACAACTTTATGCCAGACATCATTTTTTAAATCACCAACTGAATTATCAACATATAATAATGGATTCCAAAATTTATTTGCATCAAAATTATCGATATCCTAATTAATAACAAAAAAAAAAAAAACATATTTCAAATAATTTTTATTTTTTGTTTTCAAAAAAAAACAAAAAATTCTTTTACTCTAACATACTTACATGTCACTTACCGTTCCTTTTAAGGCCGGATCTGACCAACGTGCTTGAATAAAAGCTTCAGCTTGAAATTGTTCTTTTAATGTATCAATTTCACCAATTTTTAAAAATACTATACGTAATTCAACTGTTACCTAAAAATCAAATATACAATAGAATATTTGAAAAGAAAAATAGTTGAACTTTGTCTCATTTATTTTTCATCTGATGTTTATTGAAGCATGACAAGTTGACCTGTCCTATTCTTTCATTCATGCTCTCATTTGATCAATCTATTCATTTTTTCACTAGTATATTCAATACAATGAAAAATCTCTATTCAACAAAACTTATTTCACGTTCAACTGGTTTTATTGTTCCACTTGGAATTCTTTTAATTCTATTTGGTATTATATCAATTATATTATCATCTATTGATTTATATAATAGTCGTTCATCTTTATCATTTCCAATAACAATATCAACATCAACATATACAACAGATATAATAAATTCAACAGATATAACAAATTCAACAAATACAATAATAAAAACAATATTAATTCCAAATGTTTTTTCTGAACAATCCATATGGCCAACACTTGGTAAAGGAATATGGTGTGGCCTTTTTCTATTTGTTGTTGGAATTGTTTCATTAATTGTTTATCGTGAAAAAACTTTAATATCAATAAGAATATTATCATTACTTGCATTTATTTCTTTATTTATTAGTTTTTTTCTATTTTTATCATCAATTATTGTATTTCAACGTTATATTATTGAAGGTCGTCTTAATGCTAATCAACGAACATCAAATGAACAAAAAGAAATTGTACTTAATGCTCTTCTTCTTGTTTGTGGTGTTTTATCTTTCATTGTTTCATTAATATTAGCTATTGGTACACTTATTGCAGGAAATTTTTGTCAACAACAATCAGATGATATTGAAGATATTGATAATTTTAATCAACAACAACAACAACAACCTCCTGCCTATTCTGCACCACCTTATTACGGTTAAATTATAAAATCATGACAAAATTAACTTAATATCTTAGTTTATCTAATACGAGTATCTTTAGAAATCATTTTTAAAAATGTTTTTCGTTTTATATTATTCATATTCTAGAATGTTATTATTAGAATAATAAAAGTAAACACATAGAGAAATAATTAAACTAGCATGAATATATCTCTTTTCTTTTTTCTTAATACTCAAACGACATACTTCTCATATTTTATCTAAAACCTATTTTTAAATATGAACAAATTATACAATTCATAAATAATTATTATTAAATGGATTCTTTGAAAAATTTCACAAAAGATTTATATAAATAATAAATTGCTGATTAAAAATAAAAATTAAATCTTACCCTGTCGAGTTTATGTATACCTGAATTGTCGTCAACTGGTCTTGTATCTTGTTTTTCGCATACTTTAATCATATAATCTTTTATTTCTGTAAGAATATTAATATTTCGTTTAAAATTATTATTTAATTCTTGAAGTGTATTTGTTAATTCACGTAAATCGATCATTGATAATGATGATGATGAAGGTGGTGTACTATGCATCCGTTTTACTGGAAGATATTGATGAGATGGTGCCAATCCTGTTAATGTATGTAAAGTTCCTGTTCCTCCTCCTGATAGATTCATAGATAATGATCCAAGATTTTTTGTTTGATAATGGATCAATAAAGACGATAAATCGTCGAATAAAAAAGATAATCGTATATATTGAAGAGCAACTAACACGACAGTTATGATCAAATTAAAGATAATTTATTAGAAATAATGCAGAAAAATATTCATCTGAAAAGAAAATAAGAAATTCAAAGAAACATATCTAAGATTACTGATTGATAATTGATTTCAATATAATCAATCTTCATTCCTTTTTGTTTCTCTTGTTTAATTTAATCATTACTCAATTAACATCAGATAGAAATAATACTTTCGATTTAAAATGAATATAAATTAAATAAAATTTCTAATACGAATACTTGTCTAGATATTTTTATTTGATAAAAATTCTATGAAACAAGAACAGAAAAAATACATTACATATTAAAATCAATCTAGTTTTCGATTTCTAAAAAGTTGTTTAGTACACGAGAAATCATCTCATCTGTGTTTTTCCATCAACAACTAAACTTGTGCGACTCCAATATTCTTGTTGATATTAGTGATAAGAAGACAAAATGGTTGGATTGATAAAAAAGAGAGAGAGAGAGAGAAGCGATATTCTATCTCAAAACTTTTCCATACATACAAAGAGAAAGCAACAGCATAATACATCCATCATGTAGAGACAAACCAAAAGCTGCTATAAAAGCTACAAGGAAAAGGAAAAATTGTGTTGTTTTAGTTGACACATGAATCAACAACTATACATCCTAAAAAAAACTACCATTATTATTTGACAGACACGTTTATTTCTATTGACTAAAGGTATTCCCTTATTGATTAAGCAAAGAATAAAAGAGGAAATGGACTACTAATAAATCTTAACATCTACATTCATTTTTCTTTTTTTATTCGAATAAAAACAGAAATATTTTAGATCTTATACATAATTTATTCTTTATATTCTCCATGTGAGTATTTTGATAATATCTTATCAAATAAAAACATTGATTTCGAAATGAAAATATACATTCTTTTAATAGCAAAAAGAAAATGGTTCGATTATAATAGACTACGTTGACCTTGACAAACTAATCATAGACTTGACATAGAAATAAGAAAAAATTTGATACAAACTACCAAACATAATCAACCAATCAATACTGTTAGTCTCATCTCATCTGTTATTTTAGCTGATAGATGCAAATAAGAACAATGCATTTTCTTTTGTTTCCCTTGTTAACATGTGAAGGTTTATGTTTACTTATATAAAAAAAGAAAAAAATGTCATTTCTAAGAACAAACAATTGATTAGATTCTTTTGCAAAATTCCAACTTTATCACTTGCTATTTAATCCATATTTATTATAATTAACAGCAAATGAAAGTACTTAGATCAGAACTGTATGCAATACAAATATGTTACATATAATTATCATTTAAAATGAATATTGTATTTTCAAAAAAAAACAGAACAAATCTCACACACTACTCTCAACACATCTGTAATGAGAATGAAATTGGCATAATCTTCACTCTCATATACGATACATTTACTTATTTATTCTTTGAATAGTAAAGACATAAAAGTAAGCAGTTCGAGTATATGAAATGATGTATGTCGTTACTTCTCAACGCAAAATTTTTTGTTTTTGACTTTAGTTTTCATCGAATAATATACAATGAAGAAAAATTTTTGAAAAAGTCCTAATAAAATAAATAATCAATTAAAATCAAGTTTTTGTTGTGCATAAAGATCTTTAATCATATCTTCCAATAAACATTTGATTGAAAATTTTATAAACACATAAAATTTATTGAAAAATAATTAAAGAGAAGTAAAAAAATATATATGTTTTCTTTGAAAATGTATTATGTTTATATTGGTTTTCGAAGAAGTCTAGAATGCAAGTAGTTAAAGACATGCAGTTTTCATTATTCAAAAGAACGATTTGAAAAAAGGTTCTTAACCTATGAAAAACTTGATGGACCAGTTTATTAAAGTACCTAGTACCTACGTCTTCGAATTTGCCTGAAAGTTATAATTTAAATATTGCTATTCTTGGCATTTAAGCTCGAAAGAAAACTAATTGAAACATATGTTATTGAATTTTGTCGAAAAAAAAATTTTTATGAAAAATAAATATTATATATTAAATAAAAAGATAAACTAAGGTTAAATTTTTAGCATTTATCTAATGATATGAATTAATCGTTTGTTTCTTATTGATTATAATTATATTAAAAATTCTCTAATATTAATTTAATAGTAAATTTTAATTAATACTATGACATTAATATTTGATTGTCTATTACATAAACAATATTATTTTTTACTAGCTATGAAACGATAGTTTAAAAGTTTAATTCAAACTTGTCGATCATTGTATTCTATACAAAGAAGAACATATAGCTTTATTCTTCTATTGTTAGTGTTTCTTTCGACAGTGTTTCCCTCGATAGGTTGTGATCAAATTTAACAAGAAAAAAAGAAAATAATCAGAAAAACATATAGATAGAATACACTAAGTGGTGTGATATCACTCTCTTATTTTGATTTATTATCCAGGTACATATACACTTGGCTATATAAATTTATCTTTCGTCGTGATTCTTTATTATTCGCGTTTTCAGTGTAAAAGTTTACATTAAGATAAATTTTATCGATTGATACTTTATCAGCAATGATTTGGGTAAAATTAAGATTCTTTTTTTTTTTTTATTGTGATATTTCTTTTAAAATTATTTCCATTTGAATAGATTTCATTGATTTGGTGTTTGCTTGCTTTGTCAAATTCAGTTTTAGGACGTTCTAGTAAGAAAAACAAATATTTATTTTCGTTTATTTTAAAAAAATCGATTTTTAAAACTTAGCATATGACTTATCATCTTCTGTATCACATACACAAAATCCAAACTTAAATGGAATGTCTGATTTAGCCATGCAACAAGAACCTTTATTAACTCAACCTTTAATTCAAAGTCAAGTTCCTATGCAAAATGTTTACAGACAACAGTCTCCAAAAATCACCGATATGTCATCAAGGTAAATAAAAAGAAAATATTGCATTTGTTTATTTTCGATGAAATATTGTTTTTTTAGTTGGATGCAAAATGTTCAAGAAAATACTTCAAAGATTCCAATGGGATACGAGTAAATTCGAGAAATCTTTTAGTTTTTTAATTATAAATAATCTGTTATTGTTTTTCATTATTTAGAGTTCAACAAGTTCCACAAAAACATCAAACATTTGCGCAAACTGTTGTTACTTCACAATCATTCGGTACACAACAACAAATGAATCTTCCATCGTCTGGATTGGTAGATTCACAAAATAAATTTCAACAAAAGATTCAAGGAGTACAAATGCACACAGAAGCTGGTCATATTTTGTATTTTATCGAAAAATTTAATCTAAATTTCTTTCTTTTAGACATTCTCTGTCGTGGCCAACGTCCAGAAACTGTTATTCCATTAAATGATAAACGTCGATTTGTTGTCTGTCTTGATAATAGCAAAGGTGTTGAACAACGTTGTCCAAAAGGTCTTTATTATTATCCTGAATCACGTCGATGTGAACGTAGTATGTTATCGTTTTTTTCTTTTCTTTTCTTTTTTGTTTTTTTTTTACTTAGAATTGAAAGGATTGAAAAATGCATGTGCCCATAAGCCATGTCTTAACAATGGTCAATGTGTTATAGCCGATGTAACATCATATAAATGTCAATGTCCAACAGGTTTTGATGGTAGAAATTGTGAATTAGATGTTCATGTTTGTCAAAATCAACAGCCCTGTGGACAATCACCAGATCAACGATGTCAATCATTTCGCTTTGGAGCTGCTCTTCAATATATCTGTATTTATCAAGATGGTCTTGGTTATAGTCTTAATCCACAACAACGTTAATATTTATTAAAAAGAATTCGATCTCATTAAATATTTTCTTATTCTGGTTTCTTTTTTTTTTTAGTTCAACAAAATCCATGTCAAGGTACTGATGGACTACAAGCATTAGCTGTTAGTGACAAAGGTTTTATCATGTGTGATGGTGAACGTATGTTCGTTGAATCGTGTCCAGGTGGTACTGTTTGGGATGATTTTAATAAAGTTTGTGTTTGGCCAGATATGCATAGTTTTATTGATTATTCAATTATTAATCAATCAAAAAAACAACAAGGTTTCTTCATTTTCTTTTTCTTTTTTTTTTTGATATTGAATAAAATTTGATTCTTTTGTTAGTTTTAACTAATAGTCAACAACAAGAACCAATAGTTAATTCAACAACACAAAATTCACAACAAACACAAGTTGAACAAAAAGAATCTAGTTCATCTTCTAATGCTCAAGTTTTAATTCCAGAAGAACAAACGCAATCTCCAACATCACAATCATTCACATTTTCTCAACAAGAAAAACCACAAGAATATAAATTAACTGAACAACAAGAACAAATGCAACATTCTGAATTGTCGCAACAACCAGAGTCAATACAAGTGTCGAAATTGCCACAGGAACAAGAACAAAAACAAGAATTTTCACTTTCTGAACAAGAGAAAACACAACAATTTGAATCAGAACGACAACCTGAACAAATGCAAGAATATCAATTAGCACAACAATATTCACTTCCTCAATTAGGTACACCAGAACAGTATCAATTAACACAAGAACCAGGACAAATGCAAGAATATCAATACGAAGAGCAATTTTCACTTCCTCAACAAGAATTAATGCAACAATTTCAATTAGCAAAACAAGCAGAACTAATGAAACAATATCAATTGTCAAAACAATATTCAATTCCGCAACAACAACAATTTCAAAGATTTCAAACTTGGAATAAACCATTCTCTGGATTTCATACCTGGCAACAACCAAGTCAACAACAACAAAATTTTCGTCAAATGTAACAATAAACATTAGGTTATTCAAAATCAGCAGGATCAAATTTTTTTTTTTTTGTCTGAAACGTTTCTGTTTTAACTGCACTGTATGCTTTTTATTTTATTTTCATGTTTTTAAAAAAAGAGTCTTTTCTGGATGTTATTTGTTTCTTCATATATGATTAGCAATAGATTCTCATTTTAACATTATATTTTGATTTCATCATGAAACAAAAAAAAAAAAAGAAAATTAAATGAAGGATAAATATTATATTTCATTAGAATCAATTAATTGAAGTTTACTAATAACATATTGTTGAGCAGCTAAGATATGATGATATTTGAGTAATTTAAAACGATTTCGTTCTAGTTGAAGTCGAATAGAAAATAAATCCATGCGTAATGATGCTAAACGATATGTTATATATCGAATTTGTTCATTTGATAAACGAATAGTTTCACGTTCGATTTGTGTCGATGGCCAATTAAGTAAATGTTGAATTAAATCACCACGATAATATCGTGTTATATCATCAGAATTTGAATTTATTATTGATGAACGTAAAAATGATGAAGATTCATATTGAATTGGTAAAATACTTGATGGTGAATGTTCTAATTGAAGAATAGCATTTATTGTACTTGAACTTGGTCCTAATGATGATTGATAAATAAAAGAAGACGAAAGATTTTGATTAATTTGTGTTTTTATTGATGATTTTCGATAAAGTAATTTGAATATATTTTCAAGAAGAGAAGTTGATAATAATTGATAATGATATTGCTTTGATAAATTACTAAATGGAAAAGAAATGTTAGTAAGACTATTGTTTGATGTTGGAAGAGGATCAACATGATCAATTTGAATTATTTCATTTGCTGGTGGTGATGTTGGTGTTAATAAAGCAATATTATCAGTTTTTATTTTATTATTTCGTAATTTTTTAAATGATGATTTAACATCAATATAATCATTTTTACGTTTGTAATATTTTTTCTGATTATTAATTGTCATAGATTTGTTTAGATCATTTTTATTAAATGATCGTTGATAAATAGAAGATTTTTTATTTAAATAAGATGATTGACTATGAGTAGAATTGATACTATCATTAGATATTGAAATTAAATTTGATGTTTTTGAATAATATTCATTGTTATTATTTGAAGACTAAAATTGAAAATTTTCAAATGTATTAATTAAATTTTCTTACTCGTTTTGAATGAATATGATATTTATTAATAGATTTTTTTCGAATTGATGATGATGATGATAATTGTTCTCGTGAAGGTTTTTCCCATTGTGATTGATCTGTAATAGTATTATAATAATAAATTCGTCCATTTGAACTTTTATGTTCTTCCCATAAATAAGATGATTGTCGTCGTTTAGTAATTTTATTTATTTTTGATTTATGATAATATTGTCGAAGTGATATATTTCGACTTTGTTGTTTTTGAATACGAGAATGTCGTTCAAATTCTCGATGATTATGTTGAAAAAATTTTCTTGTTTTATACTTTTGATGATAATGAATAACAGTTGGAGATAGTGGTGAAAGAGAAGGAGAATTATCTCGATGAAAATCAACTGATATAGATGACAACGCCATTCAACTAAGAAATTAGATAATCATTATCAATCAGCTGATATATTTTATCTTGTTTGGAAACATAATGAATATTCTCTTTTATTGATTGATTAAAACTTATATAATGTTGAGTCATCGATATCAGTAATATTGAAAATGAACAATAGAAAAGTTATAGTGGATTGTTTTCTAAAATGTTCATCATCAAAATTAATAGTAAAACATGAATAGATTCGATTAAAATGTTTAACACACATTTGACTTTATTAGAGAGTAGCTCTACAGATTCATTTTCGTGTGCATTCATCTTTCGATAAATGCACTCGTTGGTCTTGTCATTCTGTGTTGATCTATCGTTTTCTCTTTTCTGTTTGTAACATCACATGAAGCAAAGTGAATAACATCATAATGTACTTGAATTTAACTATCAAGGTTTTATCTCAAAGTTTGAATTGATAGACTTATGAAAGTCAACTTAATTTCATATGAATATTTCACAATCTTATCACAACAATTATTTCTTGATGATTTGTTTTTATCACGATAACAATTCAACCTTATAATTCACTTTTATAAAAGATTCTATTCAATGAATATATAGTATTGACGATAATTAAAATCTGAGTTAAAACAAAAGATATCGATTAAACAATGTTTGAATTGAAATATATTTGTTATGAATATTTATAGTTTTGAAATATTCTATTTTATTTTACATAAAGTATGAAGCAAGAAGACAAGAAAATTTATGAGCGAAAAGCCGGCTTTTCCATATATTCATATTGTAAGACGCGAATCTAAAATAAAAATAAATAAATAAATAAATAAAAAATAAAATAAAATATTAACTTCTTTAATAATATTTTGAAAAAAAAGTTCATATTGAGTAAAATCTTGTTGACATTGTTTAAGTGTTTCTTCCATTTGATTATCAATACGTGTTAAAATATCCCAATCAATTGATAATATTGATGGATATTTAATTGATAATGTTTCATCTTCATTAATATCAATATCCCAACTAGAGTAAAAAATAATTAAATTATTAATTAATATAAATTAATTAAAATTTACCTTTGATTTTCTTCAATCGATGGAATATCATTTGCTGATGGTGATTCAAGTATAGTTGTATCTTGTGTTCGAATTCCAAGTAATTGTTTAAGTGATGTTAATGGTGTTGTTGGAGTTTGAGATGGAATTGTAATTAATGGTGTTGGAGGTGATTCAATTGGAACATCAATTTGATTATTTATTAAATTTATTCGAGAAAATTGTTCAAGTGGCCATGTTAAAATATTTGAACGAAGATCATTTGATAATGATAAATGCATTATATTTAATGAATGAAAACGTGTTGGAAGATCACTAAGAAGTCGAGTATAGTCACGAATTTTTAATTCAAGTCTATTGAAAAACAAAAAAATTTTTTTTCTTTTTAGAAATAAAAAAATTTTTCATTTTTACTTTTCTAATTTTTCTAAAGGATTTTCTTCAATGATTTTATTTAATTGATTATCAATTCGATTAAGTTCAGTTCGTTTTTCAATTATTTGTTGATGAATATGTGATATTAATTTTTCATCAGATTTTTTTGTTTGTTCAATTTCTGTTTGAACTTTTTTTTTTAATAAACTTAAATGAACTTCAACTGATTTACTCTAAAATTATTATAATCAAGATTTTTTTTTTTTTTGTTTTCTTCTTTTCTTTAACTTACAGCAATCATTGCATCGAGAATTGACATTAATTGAGTTTGTTCAATTGATGATCGACGAGATAAAACTTCTCGTTTACTATCTTCAAGTCGACTACGAAGTTTACCACATTCCGTACGAATATTTGCCAAATGTACAAATCTAATAATATTTTTTAACAATATATTCAAATATCTCACAACAAAAAAAAAAAGAAATTCATTTTCCTAACTGTGACAAGATTCTTCAGTGAATATTTGGCTTGTAAGTTCGGTTTTTTGAGACTAATTAAAACTCTCAAGAATAACAAAACATATTCTCCTGATAACAAAGTGATATCTTTTTATTGAATTTTCAATCTGAAATGTTGCCCATTGATTAAACTTGTGAAACAATTTACAGAGATATGTAGAAAGTTTTAAAGTTAAGAATCTGAAGATAGATAAATTGATATAGACATTAGATCTTGTCTTGACTAAATTCAACATTGAATGACTCTCGAATATCAATAACGATTTTAATATAAAACCTATTTAGACATGATCCTAGGAAACAAAAGATAATAATAAATGATGACATTAGCTTTGAACAGTCGTTTAGATAAAAATTTAAAGAAAATAAATAATTATACTGTTTAGTAAAATCCAGATTAGCTTTTGTAAGAGCTTCTTCATAAGTATCAATTATTGTTGAATTTCGTTCTTGTTCATCTTTTTCTATTTTACTAAAAAACAAAATATAAATATACATAAATAAATAAAAAAAACAAATTGCTAAATACTAACCTAAGTTGATTAATTCGTTGTTGAATAAGTGTATTCATAAGAGAACATAAATCATTTAAATTAATTGATGATTGAAATTTTCTAGTTAATAAACTCGTTGGATTGAGTAATTCTGTAACTAAACCTAAAAGTAAAAAAAAACAAAATATTTGTTTATAGTTAAAATGAAAAAAATTAATAAATACCTTGATGATTTGTTCCATTAGTTGTTGTTAATGAATTTAATTGTTCTTTTATTTGAGATAATTGATTTAAATAATTGGCTAATTGTCGATAAATTTGAAGTTGTTTATCAAGTGAAGTTATATGATTATATTCATCATTAATCATTATTTGAACACGATTTAATTCATTAAAAATATTTGTTGATTGTTCTGAACGTGATGAATAAATTTCACGTAAACGAAGACAAATTCTTTGTTCAATTTGACCTTGTTGAATTTGAGCATTTTTATGTTGTTCCCATCGATCTGGATAACGTTCTTTTAATTCAGCAATGCGTAGAGTTTCTTTTACTTTTCTAAAAAAAAAAAACAAAAAAATTATCTAAAATGTATTTGTTTTTTTGTTTTGTTGCTAATACTTGACATAATCAGTTGGATGACAATGACGAATAATTCTTTGCCAAATATCTTGTAAATTTGGATTCGATGTGAGACAACGTAAATTATCTTCATCAATAATAATATCAGCTATTGAATTAAATAAGAATAAAAATAAAATAAAAGAATAAATAGTATAAAACTTACATTGAAATGATTGAAACCAACGAGCTAATCCATCGGCTATTGATGTTGAACGATCTTCACCTAACATTTTTTTCTTTCTACTCGCGCTTACATTTAAAACAAGGGTATGGAAACATATATACTGATTCGAAAATTGTTAACGCCATCTATTTAATAGAATTCGTCTGTAGTTTCTTTATTGAAAAAAACGAAGTAAAATTCATTTATAATGGTTTCTATTGTAAATAAATTTTCTTCAATATGAAAAATTTCAAATGAAACCTTAATGGATATTACAAAAACTAATAATGTACAAGGAAGTTTTTGCATTGGATCTTGTGTGTTTTTTATTGATGCTATTACAATAGTTTATTGAATCAATTGATAAAATAAACTATAAAAATCTATGATACACTCCTCATGAATCCTTAAAAATAAATCTAAATAGTTTTCGAACAAAAGCTAGACAACTCAATATTGAATAACGAACGAATCTCATCAAATGATAAAATTTTTGTTATTAGCTAGATTGTCTAAAAACTAGACCATATCTCAAATGATTCATGCTGACAGATCTTTTTTTTTCTTTGTATCATGGCTACTTTAGTAAGTTTTTTTGAACAAAATGCTGTAATTCTCTGCAAATTTCAAGTTAAAAACTATTCCATGATTAAAATTTTCAACAAGTCTAGTTCATTGTGATAGTATTAGGTTATTTTTATTAATACTATTATCAGATATTAATATTGAAAATTCTTTTCTTATATTTATATTTTAGCATCAAAATTATCAGAAAACCTAATATTGTTACAATGAATTAGTCTCGTTGGAAAATTTAATTTTCGAAAGTTCGAATTCGAACTTAAAAAAAAAAAAAACTCAACTTTAACCATAATTTTTGAGAAAATCTTTCTAAAATGGCTTTAATTCAAGAGAAATATATTTCTGGATATGAATCATCTTAGACATGGTCTAATGTCAATGAAGCCTATTTAATGAAATAAAATTTATTTCTAAAACGATTTATAACTTGATAAAATTCTCTCGTACGACACATTAGTGATAATGATCAATATTTAATTTGGTATAATACATTTGTAAAGCTCTTATAGAGAGTATTAAAATAATTTCTTTTGATTTATTTTTTTAAGAACAATGTTCATTCGATATACATGTAATAATACAATTCTTCGATACGTTGTTTTGTCATCGTCAATATCACGAAATCTTCTGAATCAATCTTTAGTACATAAATTTTTTCATCGAATTTCTTCGAGTTATTCTTATGGTCATCCAACATTTACTATACCACTATCATCTACTAATAATTCTACCATAGTAAAATTATTATACAAACGAGAATTTTTGTTCTTAACACATATTTTACCTATTTAGGTTTTTTCTTGTCGTTCATTTTCAATATCTTCATCTTGGTTATCACCTCCTGTTGTTCAATTTAAATTAGCTGATATTGGTGAAGGCATACGTGAAGTTGAAGTTATAGAATGGTTTGTTTCATTTTAATAACATAAAATATTTTATATCAAATTAAATATTAACATTTATTCAGGTATGTTCAAGTAGGTGATAATGTTAAACAATTCGATAAGATTTGTGAAGTTCAATCAGATAAAGCTAATGTAACAATAATATCTCGATATGGTGGAACTATAGTTAAACTTCATCATAAAGTTAGTGATACAGCTAAAGTTGGTCAACCACTTGTTGATATTAAACTTGAACATGATATTGATGTATTAACAGGAACTAAAAGTAATAATTATTAATTAGAAAAAAAAATCTAAAAATAAATTTTTGTTGTTTAGCTGCAACTATAATGTTAGAAGATACATATGATAATGTATCGTTAAATAAAAATTCATTAGCTAATATTTTAGCTACTCCCACAATTAGACAAATGGCTAAAGAATTACAAGTAAATAAATCGAATGTAATTTATATTGTTTTTTTAATGCATTTTTTTATTAGATTTCATTAAGTGATGTTCAAGGTACAGGAAAAGATGGAAGAATACTAAAAGAAGATTTAATTCATTTTAAATCAGCAAAATCAACATCATCGAGAATTACACCTACAAGTTAGTTTCGATTTGTTTATCAACAAAATTTTCATTTCTAATCTTAATAAAAAAAAATAGTTGCACCACCATCACCAACAACTGTTAAACAAACAGCAATATTTCGTCCAGCGCCAATACCTTCTTCATCAAGTCTAAAAAGAATCACTAGTCATTCTCAAACAATATCTATTACCGATAGACATGAACCAATAAAAGAAATTCGTAAAGCAATGGTTCAAACCAGGATTCAAGCCAATACAATACCGCATTTTATTTATGGTGACGAATATGATATGACCCAATTAGTTAAATTAAGAAAAAAATGGAAAAATCAATCAGATAATAAACTAAAACTTTCTTATATGTCATTTATAATAAAAGCATGTTCACAAATTTTACTTCACTATCCTATTCTTAATGCTCATGTAGATTTGAAATGTGAAACAATAACTTATAAAGTATGATATAAAAAAAAACCAAGAATAAAATTTTTAACGAATTTAATTAAAGGGTTCGCATAATATTGGTATTGCAATGGATACAAAAGATGGTTTACTTGTACCAAATATAAAAAATGTTCAGCAATTATCGATTACTCAAATTGAAAATGAACTTAATCGTCTTCAACAACTTGCTCAAAATGGAAAATTATCAACAGAAGATCTTACAAATGGAACATTTTCATTATCAAATATTGGAGCTGTAATATTTTTCTTTTAATTCATTGATTTTTCTTCTGTTTTTTCATTTTTTGAAATAGATCGGGGGAACATATGCTGTACCTATTCTTCTTTTACCTCAAGTAGCTATGGGTACATTTGGAAAAATCATCGTAAGGATTTTCTTCATCTTTTATTTAAATAAGAGTTTTATGTTAATAGCGACAAGCAGTTCCAGAAGAAAATGATGAAAGTTCAAGTGATAGTGAAAAATGTTACTCATCTCGTATTCGTTCAATGATGTCTGTTAGTTGGTCAGCTGATCATCGTGTTATTGAGGATGCAACAGTGGCTCACTTTTCAAATCAACTGAAATTTTTACTTGAAAATCCACTTCATATTCTCATTAATTATTAATCTGTGTTCTTTCTTCTTTTCATTTCTATAGCAGTAAAATTTTCTTGATACAAATATATTTTCTACATTACACCGCATTAAACATATTTTTTTTTGCTATTTATGTGCCTTTGGGTTGAAAAAGGAATAGTAAAGAACGATTTTATATGATGTTTAGTGTTATATCATGAGTAGAAATTCTCGCAATGAAAAGTTATTTTACTAGATATATTGTTAAGATTAGAAATTGTATTGTTGAAGATGAAAGACATATATCTTGGCATTACTGTTGATATTGATTCATTCAATGTTGGATATCTTCAGAAAGAAAACAAATAGTAATCTAAGACTTTGCTTTTGAAATGGGAATGATAGATCATGTTGTTGAAACTGAACTTAATGAAGATTGTTATTTGTCTTCCAGTTGATATTTTAAACTGAGTTGTGTCAAATAGTTATGTAAGGACAGTCCGAGTTTTGACTTCGGTTTCAATAAAAAATATCAGCCTTCGTATGTCTATATGAATCTCCACGACGACAGCCAATCCGTTCCACCCCATCGAACGACCGCTTCGAACTAACTGAA